TCCCTGACCTTTTATTTCTTTTTAAACGTTAAAAAATCAGGGATCTGGGCGACCCTGAGAGGGGCATGTTCATCCTAACGTGGCCCAGGGATGATCTTTGCTTTTTTTCCAGCACAACCATTCAAATGTTTGTGCCTTTTACAAAGCTTTTGGGCTTTTGCCCATTCCTTTCCTTCAGCCTGGACACTCCAGAGTTCCCAGACTCCCTTTGGAGACAGTTTGGAGTGTTCCTGAGGGTTTGCTGGGAGGATTTGCTGCCTTCAGCTCCCCCAGGACACCCCTCTGTGCCCCGTGTGCAGTGCTGAGCTTTGCAGGGCAAACCCAAAATTCCTCGTTTTGCACCTGAAACTTGGCTTTTCCCTCTCCCTGGGCCTGGATTCCTCCGTGAGGGAGCATGGCAGGAGACCATGGAGCAATCCCTGTGCTCTGTTTTTGGGATGGGGAGAAAAGGGATCAATTCTTTGCTGTGTGTTACAAGGTCGGAGTGTCGGGGCAGCAGCAGGATTTTATGGAAGTCCTCTCCTCTTTGTGCTGCCTTCCCAATTTTTTTTCCTGTGTTTTCCCTTTGTTCCTGCTCCCAGTACCTGCACAGCCTCTTGCCCACAAACTTTCTCATCCCTCTCCAAAAACACCAGGGTTTCCAAGCCCTCTGGAGCGCAGGCCAGGGAGAGGCAGACATCCAGGATAACGTGGCAACAGGACAAGGCTGGGATGAACCTCCTGGAAATGTTGGAAGGATTTGTGTGTGTCCAGGTTGAGGTGTTGCTTTGGATGCTTCCTGACACATCCAAACCTCCAGCAAGGGCCAAATTCCTTCCTGAAAACATTTCCTTGCTCGTTGTGCCTTCGTCGGGTCAGCGCGGGCTGGATGGGGATGCAGGTGGCTGATCCCAAAGTTTTCCTGTGGGCTGGATGGGGATGCAGGTGGCTGATCCCAAAGTTTTTCCTCCTGGAAAGGAGGAATGTGATGCTCCCTTCCCTCTTTGCTGTGCTGATTGTGCTGGGTTGGAGCCTGAGGGGCCTGAAAGTCGTGGAGGGCAAAAGGCAGGGAGCGATTCTGGTGCTCGGAGTGGGAAGGGTTGGGCTGGCATCAGGGAGGGTAAAACCACGGAAAACATCATCCCTCTCCATCCCAACTGTGAAACAAAGCCTTTTCCATGCATGGAAAACCTGTGTGGAAGCTCAGTGAATTCCCTTGAATTCCTTCTCCTCCTTGCTGTGGTTTAAGGACGGGGCTGGGGGATTCTCCAGCTGGGACCAGGGGGCATTTTGCTGTCACCCAGAGCTGGAGCTGAGACACTGAGGAGGAATTTTCTGCCTTAGGAAAACCATAAATCTCGAAATATCCTTTTTCCACTGCAAGGCAGGCTCTGAAGGTTCCAGCCAGGCTCGCTGGGTGCTGGTGTCTCCCTCGGAGCAGGGTGTGTGTGCATCGCCAATAAATGCCCTCGGACAGGCCAAATCCCCAGATTTGGCTCTTTTGGGAGGTGAAAAAAAACCGGGAGCTCCTTCCAACATCCCCAAAAAGTCCTGGCTACCGCCCTGGCACTGCTGTGGGTCCCCGTGGCCGAGTGCCCGCCACGACCACGCTGTTACATCTCGGTGTTAACAAAGCTGAGCATCCCCTTAGAGACGATTTTGCCTCTTGGCAGCGCTGGAACGACTCTTTTTTTTTTTTTTGTCCCGGTTCTCCTCGGGCTCTGCCCGGTTTTCTCTCCCGCGAGCTCGGCTCGGCCTCACTAGAGGGCGCAGGAATTGTAGGCTTTGGAAAAAAAAAAAACGCGCGCGCGGGGAGGTTCGTCGGGGGAGGGGGGGTGGTGAAAAGAAAAAGTTGGCCGCCTCTTCCTCCCTTTTTTAATCAACTGGAAAGATGCAGGGTTGAACTGGAGGTGACTGGAAGGGGATCCAGACTTGTGTCTGGCCGGGGAAGGATCTGCTGACATGTGGGATTAGGCGGCGTGGAGCGCGGCGGCGGCGGCGAGCGGACGGGAGACGTCGAGCGCGGGGCCGGGAGAGCTTCGGGCTCGGGCAGGCGTGGGGTGCAGCCAGCTGGAGGAGCCTCGTGGCAGGAGGAGAGCTGGGAAAAGAGCGAGGAAAAGGGAAAAACATCAGCCTCAGCCTCCCAGCGTTGAACGCTCCCCCTTTTTTCGGGCCGGGCAGGTGTTGTGTCAGCCTCGGTCGGGGCCCGGTGTTCTCTTCCTGAGGGTCCTCCATGCTGTGTCCTCGCTGCACATCGAGCCCCGGGGCAGAGTCTTTCCTCTTCTGAGGGTCTGGAGGGTGTGGATCCATCCCTGGGATGGTTCCCTACGCCACAGCAGCAATTTTGCAGCCTGGGACCAGAGGCTTGTTGTCCTTTTTTTTGGGGCGCAGGGGGTCCCCAAGCACTGAGGGAGACACCAGCACCCAGCGAGCCTGGCTGGAACCTTCCGAATCTGCCTCGTGGTGGAAAAAGGATATTTCGAGATTTATGGTTTTCCTAAGGCAGAAAATTCCTTCTCAGTGTCTCAGCTCCAGCTCTGGGTGACAGCAAAATGCCCCCAGTGCCAGCTGGAGAATCCCCCAGCCCCATCCTTAAACCGCCTCCAGCAGGTTGGTGGCTCCACTGCAGCCTTGGCACTGCCAAAGCAGAGGCTGCCCCCTCATCAGAGTCCCGGGAAGCATTTGGGGAGCGTGGGGTGATTCAGTGGGAGCCTCTGTCCTTATCCCAACTCCTCAGCAGGGATGCAGGGCACTGCCAGCTGGATGGGGCGACACCCACGTCCTTTCACCAGCCCCTCTGAGCAGCTCTGTCCCAGCTCTCCTGCTGCATCAGAGCCCGGCGTCCCTCTCACATCCACCAGGATCCATCCCTTTCCCGGCTCCCTCCCCACCTCCCCCCCGACAGAGCAGCTCAGCTTTAGCACCTCCGGCTTTGCTGCTTTTCCAGCGCCTCAGCCCGAGCAGCGCTGCCCTTTCCAGGCTTTAAAAATAGCCGGAGGAGCTCGGGGAGGAGGCGGCGGCAGCGGCCGCCCCGTCTCTCGGCCTCGCCGCGCTCTCGCCGCCCCGCTGTTCATTCACTCGTTCATTCATCCCCGCTCCGTTTCATTCATGCCTTGGCTCGCCGTGGCCATCCGGGCACGGCATCTGTCTGTCTGCGGCCTCTCGGGCTCCGGGAGTGTTTTTTTTCCCCTCCCCGATCGCTCTCCGTTGTTGGCCGGGATTTTTCCACGGGGGAGGTTTTTCCTCGGGGCTCAGCCCCCGAGAGCTCTCGCGGAGCCTCCGGCGCGGGGCTGCGAGGGGACGGGGCTGTTATTTCACCAAACAAAACTCCCGGCGAACGCCCCGTGCATTAGCAATGAGGGGTCGCAGCCAGGAAAATATTACCTTTCCCTTTGAGTGCTGACTGCGGAGGAAATTCTCACATTTACAGCTCCGGCGAGCCCGACGCTCATGGAAAAGAGGGGGCGGCTTTGACTTCGCTCCCCTCGTCGGGTCGATAACTTTGCGGCCCCCCCACCTTGCCTTGAGCTCCCCCCCTCTCTCCTGCTCTCCGGGGGCCACCCGGTGGAGTCTCCGCCGGCTCGCGGCTCCCTCCTGGAATCCTGGTTTAATTTGATTTTCCCGCAGGCCTGGCATGCGGCGCTGCGTGTGCGTCCTGCCTCGTGTGTGTGTGTGTCTGAGCGTGTAGGTTAACAAAAAATAAACAAACAGCACTTTTTTTTTTTCCCTCTCCGGTGCTCTCCGGGAGGGATGCGGCGGGAATGCCGATGAAAAGCGCTGTGCTGTGGGAAGGGACATTCCTGGCATTGCTGAGCTCCTCGTGCAACGCGTGGGCCCGGGCCCAAATTGGAGGACTTGGAGGACCTGGGGAGGCCCGTTGCTGCTCAGTGTTTACTCGCAGAGCTTAAATTAATGCTGTCTGCTGACATCAGGGGTTCTTTTTTTTCCCTCTCGGATTCCCAAGGAAACCAGGGCCGGGTGCGAGCGCAGCCCCTGCGTACGTGCGTGTCTCTCCTCGCCGCCTGAGCCCCGGGTTGAGTTCAGCCAGATTCCACAGGGATCCCAAAAAGCTGCGGAATAATTAGTTTACTTAATTTTAAATCCGTTAAAAAGGCGGTCGATGAGTGGGAGGAATCAATGCCTGTGTTTGTCCGTGTGGCTGCACAACCACGTCAGACAGGAGAATCCTCGGGGGAGAGATGTTTTAGTAGCACCCAAATCATGGGATGGATATCACTGGGATCTGGGAGACGTGGAGCTGTGGGAAAACCAGCTCTGTCCACCTGATTTTCCCTCCCATCTCTGGTTTGCTCTGTTTTTGCCCATCGTTTGTGATGATCGTGGTGAGGATCTCTGGAGGATCCAGCAGCTGATGTTTCTCCATCAGCTCTTCTTGGCAGACTTTTTTTGGGAACTGGTGATTCTGGATGATGAGTTCTAGCTGATGACAAGTCTTCTTATTGAGGTCCTGGAGCAGGTCCAGAGGAGAGCAACGAGGCTGGGGAAGGGACTGGAGCACAAGTGCTGTGAGGAGAGGCTGAGGGAGCTGGGGCTGTTCAGCCTGGAGAAGAGGAGGCTCAGGGGAGACCTTCTTACTCTCTGCAACTCCCTGACAGGAGGGGGGAGCCAGGGGGGGTTGGTCTCTTTTCCCAGGCAACTCTCAGCAAGACAAGAGGGCTCAGGGTCTTCAGCTGTGCCAGGGGAGGTTTAGGTTGGATATCAGGAAGGAATTTCTTTGCAGAGAGGGTGCTCAGCCATTGGAATGGGCTGCCCAGGGAAGGGGTGGATTCTCCCTCCCTGGAGGTGTTTAAGGTGAGACTGGATGTGGCATCAGTGCCATGGGCTGGGAACCACGGCGGGGTTGGATCAAGGGTTGGTCTTGATGATCTCAGAGATCCCTTCCAACCCAGCTGATTCTATGATTCTATGATTCTCAGCACAGGACGTTTTTGGGATGCCCATTTTTCCCTTGGTAAAAACCTCTCCTCGCTCCCTTTTTTCCCGCAGGTTTTCTCCAAAATCTTCAGCCACGAGGCGCTGGAGAGTTACCTCCCCAAGATCCAGCTGGTGATCAAGGACACCCTGCGTGCCTGGAGCAGCGACCCCGAGCCCATCAACGTGTACCACGAGGCGCAGAAGCTGACGTTCCGCATGGCCATCCGCGTCCTGCTGGGCTTCCGCATCCCCGACGAGGAGCTCGGCCGCCTCTTCGAGGTCTACCAGCAGTTCGTGGAGAACGTCTTCTCCCTGCCCGTGGACCTGCCCTTCAGTGGCTACAGGAGGGTGAGACATCGGGGCTGGGTCCCCCACCAGTCTGGGGTTAAGGGGGTGGTGGTTTATCCGCCCCTCTCTGGGTTCTCCGCGCCCTCTGACCTCTAGGGATGAGTCCGTTTTGGGTTGCAAATCCGTTTTGGGTTACAAATCCTGGTTTAGTGGAGAAGGGAGAGAAAGATCCATCCATTGAGTGGTTTGTTCTAGAATACAACCAGGACTCACCCAAATTTAATGTGTGTTTTTATCTCACCCGGCAATTTTCCTGTATTTTTGTAGTTTGTGGGACCCTTCTCCTTTTAATTCCCTCCCTGTCCCTGAAGCGAAACAGCTCAGCAGACCTTCTAATTCCAACAACCAATCTAGTTTTTTGATGAATGATGCAGAATGAAAACACACCAAAAATCACAGACCCAAAAGAAAAAAATGATTAAAAAAAAATTCCTTTTTTTTGATAGACATTTTTTGGGAACTGGTGATCCCGGATGATGAGTTCTGGCTGACGACAAGTCTTCTCAGCACAGGACGTTTTTTGGGGTGCCCGTTTTTCCCTAGGTAAAAACCTAGGGAAAAATCCTTTTTTTTTTTTTTATCACAGGGAATTTCGGCGACAGAAATTCCGGGGAGGTTCAAATTTATTTTTGTGATATCACTGCAATTTTATTTTTATTTTTCACTGATATTTGACCACGTGGATGAGTCCAAGCACTTGCAAGCCCTGAAGCACTTGCAGGAGCAGGTTAACCCAGCGCAGCTGCGCTTCCCTAGGAATTGCTTTACTGAGACCAGGTGATAAAACTGCTTGGGAAGACCATTATGCTCCTGGGGAAGAGGATCCTTTGGGATGAATTGGCTTTCCTTTGAGAGGCAGTTTTTCCCAGGGGCTGCCACGCATCCCAGGGTGAGCCAGGGGCATGTGAACTGGTGCAGCACTGGGGCTCCCACAGCAGACCTGTCATTTACACCTAGGTGCTGATTACTCCTGCCTGTAATCTCAGCTCCTCGGGCTTTACTCCTCCTGCCCAGGGAACGACCTCAAGGTCTTTATGCTCCTCTTTGAGCATCTGCAATAGCACTTTTATTACTCAGCCTGGGGATGCTGGTGGTGGTGGTGCTGGCGTGGGCTGATGGTTTCCTGCTCCACAGGGAATCCGGGCACGGGAGACGCTGCAGAAGGGGCTGGAAAAAGCCATCCAGGAGAAACTGCAGAACACGCAGGGCAAGGACTATGCTGATGCCTTGGACATCCTGATAGAGAGCGGGAAAGAGCATGGGAAGGAGTTGACCATGCAGGAGCTGAAGGTAAAGATCTCCCCGTGGACACTTTGCTGTGCTCCGGGGGCTCTGCCGAGAGCAAGGCTGAGCTGCTCCAGGGAGGAATTTTTGGGGATGATCAGGGGATCACAACGTGTCGGTGGAGCTGCAGGTGAACCCTGGTCTGGTGGATCATGGTGATGACAAACCAGTTGTTCCATTTGAGGGTTGTGCTCAGCCCTTTCTAGAAAGCATAGGAATCATGGGATCATTAGAATCATGGGATCATTAAAGTTGGAGAAGACCTCTGAGGTCATCGAGTCCAACCTGTGACCAAACACCCCAATGCCCACCAAACCAATATCATGAAATGGTTTGGATTTTGAACATTCCAGGGTTGGTGGCTCCACCCCTGCCCTGGGCAGCCTGTTCCAGTGCTTGACCACTCTTCTCTTCCAGGGAAGAAATTTTTCCCAGTATCCAACCTGAACCTCCCCTGGCACAACTGAAGCTTTCAGCCCCGACCAGCTTCACCTCTTGCCCCATCCCCTTCCACGGTGCCTCCTTTGCAGGGCACGTGAGCCCTCAGCAGGTTGTTCCCTGCAGCAGGGTCAGGGCATAAATTGTCCATCATCTGCTGTCAAGATCCATCCTCGGGGCTTTTTCTCCATTCTGTCTGGTCCTCAGCATCCTCTGAGGCTTTGTGGGAAGCTTCCCATGGTGGTTTTCCCAGCCCTGACCCTCCACAAGGAGTGATCTTGTAGTTAGACATGAGCAAGCTGTGGCTGCCCCTGGATCCCTGGAAGTGTCCAAGGCCAGGTTGGAGCAACCTGGGCTAGTGGAAGGTGTCCCTGCCCATGGCAGGGGGTGGGGCTGGATGATCTTTGAGGTCCCTTCCAACCCAAACCATTCCATGATTCTGTGACTGTGACTGATTGTACCCTCATCAGGTAACTTGGCCCCTTTGGACCTTAAATCCTTGGCTGAGTGGCTGTTTTTTTGGGAGATGTCGTGGCTGCCCCATTGCTGGAAGTCTCCAAGGCCAGGTTGGACAGGGCTTGGAGCAACCTGGGCTAGTGGAAGGTGTCCCTACCCGTATCAGGGGCATGGAATGAGATGATCTTTAAGGTCCTTCCTACCCAAACCATCTATGGCTCAATGCCCAGGCTGGAGAGCTGTTGGGTATTAAAATACCCCATGGCAGCCTCTGTGCCTGTCCCTTGACATTCCACGGATGCTGCCCTACCTGTCCACGCCCTGGCTCTCACCCTGGCTCTTCCCTTGCCTCCCAGGATGGCACCCTGGAGCTGATCTTCGCCGCCTACGCCACCACGGCCAGCGCCAGCACCTCCCTCATCATGCAGCTCCTCAAACACCCCCGAGTGCTGGAGAAGCTGCGGGAGGAGCTGAGGAGCAAAGGGATCCTCCACAACGGCTGCATCTGCGAGGGCTCCCTGAGGCTCGACAACATCAGCAGCCTCCACTACCTGGACTGTGTCATCAAGGAGGTGCTGCGGCTCTTCACCCCCATCTCCGGCGGGTACCGGACGGTGCTGCAGACCTTCGAGCTGGATGTGAGTGCTGAGGGGCAGAGGAGGGGCAGGGACTGAGCTCTGCTCTGGGGGGGACCAGGGACAGCAGCCAGGGAAGGGCTGGAGCTGTGCCAGGGCAGGCTCAGGTTGGATCTCAGGGAAAGGTTCTTCCCCCAGAGGCTGGTTGGGCACTGCCCAGGCTCCCCAGGGCAGTGGGCACAGCCCCAAGGCTGCCAGAGCTCCAGGAGGGTTTGGCTGATCCTCTGGGGCACAGGGGGGGACTCTTGGGGCTGGGCCTGTGCAGGGCTGAGGGTTGGGCTGGATGGGCCTTGGGGGTCCCTTCCAGCTCAGCATATTCTGGGATTCTGGGATCCCTCTGGAGTGCAGCTGCACCGTGAGCTCCCCAAACCAGCCTTTCACTTGTCGTTGGAAATCTTGCTTGAGCCTGGCTTGGATGAGACCTCAGAGAGGATAAATTAGGCCCTGCTGGTGATGGGAGACGGATTTGCCCTGGATTCCTCAGGAAGGGAAGGAATGCACTGGAGCTGTCGAAGAGGGGACGGGTGTGAGGCTTCAAAGCTCGACCCATGACGGTGTTTGACGCCAAAATCCCAGCTGGGGTGTGACAAGGGAAAGGTTTACTTGCAAAGGGCATCTCCAGGCTGCTGGATGACAGGGGGATTACTCACCACCACGGCTGGAATTTCCTACCAGCAAAACAAAAATCTTCGGGCCGGGCTGGTCGCTGTAAATCCTCCTAAGGCACCGATTTGAGTCAGAAACCCTTCAAAGTGCTCAGGGGATGATAAATCCGCCCCCGGTTCTCATCGCCCAGGCCCTGACATGAGTGTTGGGTGTGTGGGGCTGACAGGCAGCGGGGTGTGGGGTGCTCTGGGATGCTCTGGGAGGGCTGGTTGGCACGTGGGGCACGGCGTGGATGTGGGAGAAGCTGCTTCCCTCTGCTTGGGGGTTCCTGGTAGGAGGTTCCTCATAGGAGACTCCTGCCAGTGACCACAAAGCAATAAATAGCAGTAGATCATCCCGTGGGTCCCTGGATAGAGGGAGGAGTAAATCCAGGATTCCCATCCCATCTCCAAGCCCTTTGTGCTGCGCCCTCTGGTTTTCCTTTAAATCTGCGCCACGTTGGAGTAATGAACCCAAAGGAAATGGGAATAAGCAGGGAAAACTGTGAGGGTGGTGAGGCCCTGGCACATGTTCCCAATGTCCAATCTGCACCTCCCCTGGCACAACTGAAGCTTTCAGCCCCGACCAGCTTCACCCCTTGCCCCATCCCCTTCCACGGCGCCTCCTTTGCAGGGCACGTGAGCCCTCAGCAGGTTGTTCCCTGCTGCAGGGTCAGGGCGTAAATTGTCCATCATGTGCTTGTCAGGAGCCATTCCCAGAGATTTTTCTCCTGCCTTTCTGCTCCTCAGCATCCTCTGAGGCTTTGTGGGAAGCTTCCCATGGTGGTTGTCCAAGCCCAAGGAGCGATCTTGCAGTTAGACATGAGCAAGCTGTGGCTGCCCCTGGATCCCTGGAAGTGTCCAAGGCCAGGTTGGAGGGGGCTTGGAGCAACCTGGGCTAGTGGAAGGTGTCCCCACCCATGGCAGGAGGTGGAACTGGTTGATCTTTAAGGTCCCTTCCAACCCAAACCATTCCACGATTCTACCACCGATTCTACAAAAACAAAGTGCCTTTATCTTGTCCTTCTGCTCCCTCTCTGCCGACAGCAGGGTTTGACCCACTCTGCTTTTCTCTCCACCCCTTTTCCCGCCTCTCCCCAGGGTTTCCAGATCCCCAAAGGCTGGAGTGTGATGTACAGCATCCGGGACACCCACGACACCGCCCCGGTCTTCAAGGACGTGGACGTGTTCGACCCCGAGCGCTTCGAGCAGGGCCGGAGCGAAGACAAGGACGGCAGGTTCCACTACCTCCCCTTCGGAGGAGGAGTACGGACCTGTCTGGGCAAGCACCTGGCCAAGCTTTTCCTCAAGGCCCTGGCCATCGAGCTGGCCAGCACCAGCCGTTTCGAGCTCGCCACCAGGACTTTCCCCAGAATCACCCTGGTGCCCGTGGTCCACCCGGTTGACGGACTCAAGGTCAAGTTCTTCGGACTGGATTCCAACCAGAACGAGATCCTGGCGGGCACAGACGCCATGCTGGGGGCCACCGTGTGACGGCCGCGCCGCGGCGGCGCCAGGGACGGAGGGGCGGGGTGGGGGCGAGGGATGGACAGGAGGGGAGGAGAGGAAGGGCTGAGGAGCTTCTCCACCACGCAGAGGCCTCCGGATCGGGACTTTTCCCCCCCCTCCACCCCCGCCCCGGCGAAGCTGCCGAAAGCCTCCTGCTCTTCCCGCGGAAGGGGTGCAGGGAAGGTTTTTTTGGGGGATGTCGCGGGCGCACCCGGAAAGGAGGGAGACCCGCGGAAAACCCCGAGTCGAGCCGGGATGTCTGACCGTACACAGTATCTAAATATTATAAATATATATATATAAATATCTATAAAACACTTCTGCTGCGAGGAGGAGGAGGAGGAGGAGCGCTGGCAAAGGCCCGACTGGCGGGGAAGGCTTTGGGAATCGGCCGAGGGTCGGAGGTCTGGTGTCCCGGGGCGGCTCCCGGGTGACCTCTGATCTTCCCTTTAACAGTGTTAAATTAGCTGGTGATAACAGTGTTTCTTTGGGGGGGTGGGATTTTGAGGTTTTTTTTTTTTGTCCCTTTGTTTGGTTGTGTTGTTTGTTCCGGGGGTGTTGGAGGCTTTCCTTGGTGAGGGGGAGACAAGAGGTGCCCCGTTCCCATCCCCTCTCCCGCTGGTGCCAGGGCAGGTCGGGAAGGGGCCGGAGGGGGGGGGCTGTTATTTCAGACGGAAAAACCCTGTGGTGTCTCGTCCCTCTGAGGCCTTGGGCACATTTGCATTTTGCAAGATGCGTTTTGGGGGCTCTGGATAAGGGGGGGAATGTCCTTTTTTTATTATTTTTTTTAATCTCGTTGAGTTTCCTGCTGCTGCTACACGGCCTGTGTGCACCGTTCCCCTGGCACAGCACCTCTTTTGGGGGCATCTTTGGTGTCTTTGCTCTCCCTGGAGGTGCAGGCACCAGCCTCGGGGCCACGGGGCCCCACCACGGCTCCGAGAGCTCCGGGGTGCTGAGCAAAGCCAAGCTGCTCCTTTGGGTGCGTCCTCTTCCACAGGAGGCATTGGCACGGAAGGTGATCCCTCTAAATAAGCCAACACACGCTGCTTGTCTCGTGTCTGGGGTTGTGGTTGGTGGTGGCAGAGCTCAGCAGGAAGGAGAAGGGGCTCCGTGTCCGCCCCATCCCACTGCTATCCCAGGAGGAAAGGCCTTGCCCAAAGCTTCTCCGGCACAAGAGAGCGGCCACCGAGAGGTATCTCGCCTTTGGGATTATCTGAGTTCCATTTTTTGCATGCCAGAGGCTCACGGGTCGAGTTTGAGGTGGGTGGGTTGTGTTGAAGGGGAGGAAAAGCCCCCTGAGTGTCTCGGCGGGTGTTTGGTTCACACCAGAGCCAAGCACCGGGCTGGGAGATCCCTCTTTGACTTGAGGCAGCTCTGTCCAGCCCCACTCCTCTCCCATCCCATCCCATCCCATCCCATCCCATCCCTCCTAGGTGGAAAGGACAACACAAGGACCGTGGCCGAGACCCCTCCTGGCCGTGATGGGAGGAGATCTGGCCCTTGGGTGGGCAGCTTGGCTTTCAGCTCCAGAGGTGTCCAGAGAAGTCCGAGGGGTTGGGATAAGGAAGGGGAAGGGGCAGGTGTGGGTTTGCCGGGTGGCTTTGCGGGCTGTGCCTCTTTGGAAGGTCGAGGGAAGTGTGAAGGGAGCGCTGGGAAGGGCTGCCCTTGCCAGCCCTTGGTGGGGGCCAGGAGGAGGGAGGCAGGTTTGGAGCCAAGGGAAGCACTTGAGGTCGGATATGCCGTCAGCCAAGCTGCCAAATTCCCCCCCCCTTCCTCCCAGGAGCATCCCAGTGGATCATTTCCACGCTCACCAGCTTGATTTAACCCGAATTTAACCCGAAAGAAACCCCCCAATCTTCCAGGAGATTCCATTCCCATCCAGACCTTGCCTTCTGGGTGGTAACACGGCCAACCCAAAGGGAAGGTCTCAGGAGCCTCTGCGTGCGCCACATCCCTCAGGCAGAGGCTCGGGTGGTTTTTCCAGGCTGGGAATTCGGAGTGGAACAGCACCAGCTGAGATTTCAGGAGTTTCCTTGTCCCTGACGGAGAGAAAAAACTTTCCCGGTGATAAAAGGATCGCAACCAAAATCCTCAAAGGGATTAAACACAAACCTAAAAGTCCAGTGGGAAGAGGGGAATCTCCCAGGGACAAACATTTTGGGAGAGGTGATGGCAGTGGAGATGTTGGGGACAATGAGCTCTGGCAGGACCTGGGGACCAGGGAAGGAGGTGGAAAGTCCAGAGGGTGAAAACCCATCACCGGGTGCTCTCCAGGATCCCCCTTTTCCATCTGAAACCCACTCTTGGGATGGAGGAGGCTGGGAAAAGGGAAAGCTGGAGAAAGGGAACACCAAGCTTAGAAGGTCTGGTTAAAGCTCCAGAGAACAAAACCTCTGGGGTGGATTTTTCCAGCCTGCTTGTCCTGGTGGGGAACCAGCGAAAGGTTTGGCTGAAATTTTTTTCTTTTAAACTTCCAAGGTCGTTACAAAAAAGTGAAAACCAAACATTGCTTTTTGAGTGAGTGGTTGATTGGAGAGAGGTAAATGTAAGATGCAGACATCCATTATATATATATTTACATTATGTGTGTATATATAATGTTTGTGTGGGTGAGTATTTAATCCGGGCAGAAGTTAAGTCAGGCTTTGTTTTTTTTTTTCCATTCCTAACTAATATAACTTGACTAAAAAAAAAAAAAAAAAAGAGGAAAAAAAAGAAAAAAAAAAAGTTGCTGCAGTGGGTTTGCAGAATAAAGCACTTTGAATCTCAGAATTGTTTGTTTTTTTGGTTGTTGTTTTTTTTTTCTTAGCACAGTCCAATTTGCTATAATATTATTTTATACACAAATTTGTTTTGTTTTGGTTTTTTTTTTGGTCTGTCTTTATAAACTATTATAAGTACTATTTTTGTTATAATTCAAAATAGATATTTAGTATAAAGTTTTTTGCTGTTAAATATTTGTTATTTAGTAAAATATGATTTTTTTTTTTCTCTTTATTGTAAACATTGTCCGGAGGGGAAAAAAAAAAAATATTAATATGTTTTATCGCATTTGTTTTTAATATTAAGGGGGGGGAAAAAAAAAGAAAAAAGCACTTGTGGGGTTTTTCATTATGAAATCGGTGCCGTGTGAACATGTGTTTCAGTCATGTGGTTTTTAATATGTATATAATATTATGTGTTGCATATTAAAATGAATGTTGTGTATTTTGTGATCTTAAAATAAAAAAAAAAA